ACGTTTCAACGTTTCACACCTGGCTCCTTGGTGCGTTGGGCTTGGATCCACACCACAATTAGTCTGAGATCGTCTGAGTTGGCCCGACTCATAAAAATCAGTTAGAGCAGGATTGAAAGTGTATATACATTTGTAAAGGTGTGTGTAAGGACAGCTACAAATAACATCCATAATAAACCAACAGAGCTGACTTGTCAGTACATGTTGATGGATGCCTCTAAGAGTGGAATCCCAGAACATAAAGAGGTGCGCTCTGACCAATGAAAGGACAGATTTACTCACATGTAAACAGAGCTGTTGAATACCAGAGTTGTGACACTACCATAGGCTTCCATAGGAACTGAGGGATGCGGAAGTAAAGCGTGCCATGGATCAGCCAATAGTTCCAAACCACTAATAGTTCCAGCACTGAAGCCCATTCATTTCAGAATGTTGAAGAAATTACAGCGTTTTTGACATTTTAATGCATTAGTTGAACTCTTGGAAATCTGGCCAGTAGCGGCATTTTATGAAGCATGTTATAGTTAACGTTTATCGTTAGATAATAGACAGTTATACTATAATTGCAGTTAGATAATATGAGAAACACCATAGCAAGATGCTAATTGTAATATTTTTAAGTTTTTAGTCTTTCTGCAATCTTTCTCTCCCTGTAGGAGGTTAAATGAGTTTCACTGAATACAATAAAGAGTTTCTCTGAATGCAATTGTTTGCCTTGTGTTTTTTTAAACATTATTTTAAACCTTTTTTATTGGGTTCAATTCCGTATTTGCTTGCCTTTTGTAATATTAACTTATGTTGTATGGTTATGTGAATATCACAAAATAACACTGGGAAGTAAGTAATTACCCTTGTTAAATTTAATATTTAAAAAAACTGAAACAAAAATCAAGTGTTTGATAATGTCTAAATATACATTCAAATGCAAAACCTAAAAAAAAAAGCAATTATGACCGGCAAAACTATTTTGAGCAACTAGAGTAGCGCTAAACACATGTAGACTATATTTATTAAACAGCCATACGGGCATCTAGTGGTTAAACCATGGCATTACATATGAATATTATTTTTCTGGCCACCTAATGACTCTAATATGACTCTTTGCACTGGAATTTAACGTTTGTTTAAACGTTTTAGCCGATTACGACAGCCACGGGGTACCTGGGGGTAAGGACAGACAGACGAGGCAAGAGAAAAAGAGACGGAAGGATGAGGAGAGACAGAGACGAGAGAGGGGAGAGAGGAAAAAAAATTATTGTTCTGGTTACCAGACACACTGCCGCTCTGCCCTCCACCAGCTGGGTAAACTCTTCCGCGATGCCAGGCAGCAAGGCAGCCGTCCCTCCACAGCCCAGGTGGCCGGCAGTGAGTTCATTCGCCCCCCCCGGCAACTCACTCCAGCCCACCGCCTCAAGCGTCCATGGCGGCAGACTGCTCCGCCATGCTCGATGGCACCGCGGATTCACCACAGCGGCTAGGGATCTCTGACAGCGTGTCCCTCCTTCCTCCCGGGTTTCGGCACCAATGTAACAACGTTCGTAGGTCGGGAAGAAGGAGGCGGGAACCGGCAAACGTTCAAACAAAAACTTTAATAAAATAAACAAACACAAAACGAAAGTAAAGCGGCAGCCCCTCGCGGACAACTGCTGCACACAAAACACCAAATAAAGTCCAGGCCTGGTCCTCTCTTGTCTTTCACTGTCGTAACATTTATATAGCGCTTTATTGTGTATTGCTGTGCACCCAAAGCGTTTTACAATCATATGAGGGGGTCTCTCCTCAACCACCACCAGTGTGCAGCCTCCACCTGGATGATGCGACGGCAGCCACAGTACAATGGCGCCAGTGTGCTCACCACACACCAGCTAAAGGTGGAGAGGAGAGAGCGATAGAGCCAATTCAGTGGATGGGATTATTAGGAGGCCATGATTAATAAGGGCCAGTGGACAGAATTTGGAGTCAGGACCTCAGTTTAACGTCTCATCCGAAGGACGGTGCTTTTTACAGTATTGTGTCCCCGTCACTATAGTGGGGTGTTAGGACCCACACAGACCACAGGGTGAGCACCCCCTGCTGGCCTCACTAACACCTCTTCCAACAGCAACCTAGTTTTCCCAGGAGGTCTCCCATGTAGGTATTGACCAGCTCAACCCTGCTCAGCTTCAGTGGGCAACCAGTCTTGGGCTACAGGGTGATATGGCTGGCTGTTGTGGTTTTGCCTTTTCTGTGTTCATGTTTCCCCTGCCCTTTGTATTGTGGTATTTCCTCTGTTGTCACTGTTTCATGTAATGCCTTTTTTACAGTGCATAAATATACCCATTTTCTTTTGTCTCCT